GAGGAGTTAGTTTATGTAGTGCAATATATAACTTATGTCTGTTCGCAATACCACACGACTTACCAAACCAAGAGAAGTATACATAATCTTTCTATTTGGTAATGAACATGGAAATGGTGCTTCGCCTTGACACTTGGAATGGCAGACCATATTGCATTCTATTACAGAACAAGTGGATTGTATTAAATCAAAGTTCTTACATCACGTCCTCGTAGCAAATAAAATTCTTTACCTTCACACATGACTGCTTTAGTCTTCATAGTGTGGTGACATATTCTACACTCGACAGCTAATAATATACGAATAAATCAGTCATATTCTGCATTTTTTAATATGCATTACAAACGCTGGGCGTTCGACATACTGTCTTAATGTTTAATATAACAAACGCATTAATTCGCTCTAATGATCAATACTTACGTTTGCTGAATGAATTTTTCACAAAACGATGTGGAACAAGTGGCGTGGCGACATACATTTTGGTTTGCGGTTGTGGTGGAGCGAAGGCCAAATGTGGTGTCGTAATAGGACTTCCTACAGGCGATATTGGTGGAGAGGCAGCGAAAAGCACTGGGTTATAATATGAAATTCTTGGATCCATGTCAATTCCACTCTCATCCAGTTGGTTGTTCGGATTAATAGTTGCAGAATTAGTCAACGAAGACATGTCAGGAATGTTGTTCTCTGATGTGATTCGACGAATAAAAGGTAGAGAATCCTGAGGGCGTAATTCCCGCAGAGACCAATTATTCAATATCCATGGATGTTTGAATAATTCATTAGCAGTCGGCCGAGCAGCTGAGTTTTTGCGGAAACATAGACGAAGAAAATCGTCCAACTCTGAAGATATTGTTGAAGGTATAGGTGGACACTCATCTTCAACTATACGAAATAATGTTGTCATTGCCATTAAATCGGCGTATGGTGGCTTACCAGTAAGCAATTCGATTATAGTACATCCAAGTGACCATATATCAGACGCTGTAGATGCACCTTTGAGCTCTATTACTTCTGGAGCCATCCAATTGGGCGTTCCTGCAACATCTGTATTAACTTTCTCCATCATCTTTAAGTTCAACGAGACTCCAAAGTCAGATAATTTTACATTGCCATTCTTAGTTGTAAGGATATTAGCTGCTTTCAAATCACAATGAACAACGTGTTTGTTGTGAAGATAACTTAAACCCTCGAGAATTTTGACCACATAAGAAGCAACGAGTTTTTCAGGGAAATTACCAAACGACTTCAGAGTATTTAAAAGAGATCCATTCTCTGCGTATTCGAGAATAATGTTGATATAATCTTCCGTCATTATATATGCTTCATATTTTACAACACTAGGATGAGACAAAGACTTGAGTAACTCGACTTCCTGCATGAGTTGTTGAATTTCCTCATCTTTCCTCCCGTCTAATTTTATCCGTTTAACAGCCACCATTTGTCCAGTGCCGAGATGGAGGGCTCTATATACAGCCCCAAATTGTCCTTTCCCAATGCAGTTACCTAATTGGTATTGAGCCATTATCTGACCGTCCTCCATAAGCACAAGCTTTTCCCGATCTCTTATATCTGTAAGCAAACTTGTTCCCACCAAACTCTCTCTACGAGATCGAACTTCTGGAAATGCCATTATTCGGTCATTTTTATTAAACGATATCTCTGCAGTCCTGTCACTTTTATATCGTACGTGGGTCTTAATGTGACTAGATCTTCGCGGCATTTTCAATCCATTGTCGTTCTCAGATTTCTCAACGCTTGGTGAGGATGGCAATGGTGGTATCTGCTCACCAATAAATTCAGATTCGTCTTGATCATTTTCATTTACTTTGGTAAATAATTGCCCCATAGTTACTACTTTACGTAAACTAGGTCTCTTCTTTTGAAGATTTGTTTCTTCGTTTGTAAGATTCTGGTCCATTGAAAACAATTCTGGTGCACTAGAATTTCTTTCTAGTTGTCCATTTGTGACAGAGTTCTGTTGTGGTAGTGTCCATTCAGCCTCAGCAATTGTCCGTTCCGATATAAACCGTTCGTTAAGTGTTCTTTCCATACGGAACTTAGTGTCAGCTAAAGAGTGTCTTCGTGCTTTCTTTACTGCATCTAAGATCACCTGGTCCCCGTCTGTTGGAGGTTGAGTTAATCTCCGTGAATCACCACGTGCTCGCCGACTTATATCACTATTAGATATTGCTCCACGAGAACTCGGTAATTGATTCTCCATTTTATTGGGCTGATCTGTGTTTTCTTTGAATTTTCTTTGTTCTTTCGTATTATGTTTTTCTGTTGATATATCTGACCGTCGGCAAGTATATTTTCCAGCAGCAATCCGTGCTAATGCTAAGATGGTTGCCACGACCTAAACAATAATACATGTTAATAAGAATGCAGTAATTACCAACTTGACGACAAGATAATGGTAATAATAATGACAACGACAATATAGTGTCAACAGTAATAGCAATGGTTATACAAAGTGCGATATCATCCGTGTCAGTAGTCTGCTAATACACACCCTCTCCATATCTTTTCCCTCAAACAAATCAACTGTTTCAAATAAGTCGGAGTTATGCAGACCAAACTGTAATATTGGCATTGGTAGATCTGTTAGATTGCATCGTGACATTCATGAGTGAGCACAGTAGGATCTTACCTGTCGAGCTGCATTCAAGAAGTTATGTATGTTCTCCATCTGTTTAGTTAACATCAAAATTGGTTAATCAGTGCAAATGCAATAAATTACAAAGTATAAGGCTTTTCGGTCTTGTACCTTGACAAAAGGCAAGTTTTTTCGACTGATTTGTGGTATTGACTTAGGCTTTAACCGATTCATTAAACTACGTAAAGAAAGTATAACATCTAACATTGTTAGAAAAGCCAAATTCCAATAAATAACAAGACGCAGCAGCATAAGATGTCCGCAGTAAACGGGTTATGTAAATTATAAAAGATGACATCATATATTGCACTAGCTATGAATCGTGTAGACAAACCGCAATTCCGCGCTCTACCATTCCACATTATCAGGAGAACGCATAATTACCTGCATAGAACAACACCATCTTTCAAGGATTCATGTAGATTACTGCCGAGCAGTTTTACCTCTAATGTCTGTTCAATAAATTCTCTGGCGGCTTTTTGACTACTAGACACTTGTTCTTCTCTCAACGTTTCTAGTAATAGATCAGTCTTGCTGACACTAAACGAGGGCTTTCGTGCTCTATGTTGTTGAACATTAAGGCGAGCGGGCGAAAGTGAGGGGATTACAATTTCTGAAGTCATATATTTAAACTCCGGTATGTTTATCAAGTAAAGACGTGGATATAGGAACGGGTACAAGGTGAAAAGGGTGTCTCTTATGTGACGGTATTATTGAGCTGTAGAAAAACAGTGGTTACTGTTAGCTTCGGGAGCCCGTGCTGCTTTTGTTACTCTTCGTTGTGCCTGTCTTGGTCGTTGTTTCTCAAATGTGCGGATGAGAACGAAGCTGAAGAACAAAGGTAAACCGGAGGAATTAATTATAGTAATAAAGAGAAGCGAGTAAAATTCTAATGTAACTATTCTATAACGCTGATTGTTGTCAGTTAAGAGAAACTTGGAATCTTTGAATACCTTCTGTACTTCATGTACAAATTCTAACTGTTTTTTGGGTGGGGACATGTCGTACATGTGTTTATTCAAGGAGAAATGCCCAATCAGTTCATGCCGTTCTGTCTACAAGTGTGATACAACTTACCGCGAGCGAGCCAGCGATGTGCAAGCGGCCGTATAACATTCAAACAGAGTGACACACACTAAACAGTCTGCATTTATCTAGAACAAACAATATTTGAAAGCCGTTGCGCATGGAACAATTAGGGCAGGTGAAAAAACCATACTGCGTTAATAATAAGAAAAGACGGACGGCGGTAACAAACATTTGTCATATGTCAGCAAATAGCAATTCTAAATTAGACAAAATTGGGTTTCTTTCAAAGCATTTCCGTTGCTATATTTAATAAATAAAAACAGTAAGAGATTCCATCGCTATTGGTTACCAGACTAACTTGCTATTTTTTATTGAAGTGACTAACTTATTAACATAATGTCAAATGTCCAAAATAACATTCAACTCTTAGGATCCATTGTCTTGTCGCAAACGCCAATTTCCTCCATACAGTTGTTCTGCCCATCCATAATATTATGAATAAAAAGTTGACCAGTTGTGTTGTCCTTAATATTAATACGACGTATTAGTATATCGGAATATGCACAATAAAATACCACGAATTTGGATTAACCATCGGAGGACTCGTAATTTAAATAAACTTGAGAATAAATATGCTTTTACACGACAAAACTATACTGTATTGGTGAAGACGAAATTTTAGCATTCAAATTAATAATGATGATGATAATAATAAAGAGACGCGAAAAATGTTCAGACTTTTGTCGATCGTATCTGAATACGCATAGTGACACAATAGATATTCTTCCTCTAATTGTTTGCCAAATTCACAATTAACTGCCTAGTGCTCAGCCTGTAAATTGATTATTGCCTGCTAGAGGAATAAATAGTCTACAAAATTTAATGAGAAGTCAAGGAAGTCTACTAGTAATGAGGATTCTGACACAAGGAAGAGCAGACGGGCTGGAAAAAAAAAAAAAAGAATATATGAACATTTTTAATAACTAAATACCCTTACAAATTGGCTGTGGTAACATGAGTGCCGTAACCGTAGCACAAGGACTTAGTCCGATGAATAAGCTGGAAAACGTTACGACATTGAAAATATTGCCTACATAGTAATAGATCTTAGCTCGTTCTCTTGCCACGGTAGCTGTTGGCGTATAATGAATGTGAAAAATAATTG